ACACACACACACACACACACACACACACACACACACACACACACACATACATATATAAATGCAGTGGCAGAAGTCTGTCTCCCAACATGCCAAGGCAAAATAGAAGGCAGAGATGGGGAGCTGCCAGGAAGCTCAAAGGCCAGCTAGGCTCAACTACACAGTCCTGAAACAGACAGGGGAACCCTGGCATCAACAGGTGGAAGGTGAGAACTTTCTACCGAAAGTTGTCCTGTGACACACACACTTTTTTTAAAAATATGAAAATGTTCTGGGGCTGCAGATACAATTCCAGGAAGACTGGAATGAGCCAAGGCCTTGGCTCCGCGCGCTGAGGACTGGGTGCACCTTGCTTAGGAGAGACTGTCTGACCGTGCGCGCCAGCGGCCTGGCCATCTCATAAGCTCTCGGAGGAAGCGTGGGCGCTGCCGTGCCGATGCCAGCTTCTCCTCCTCACACCGTGGGTCAGCTTTCCGTTATTGTCTGGAGATCTGAGCTCCAAGGAAAGCTCAGCTAATAAACTCCCTGGGGGTTCACCCACAAGCTACCTGGATTGGCCAGAGAACGATGTTCATGTCCCCATGGATACCCTGAAGGGAATACATGGAGCCGCTGCCCCCAGTGGTGATGGAGAGCAAGGTCTTCTTATTCTGAAAGAGAAAAACAACCGTCACCCCCTGGGCCCCGTGAGTTAATGAACTAAAGGAAGCCCCAGGGAGAGGGATGGATGAGTCCACCCTATTGGAGCTATTACTTCAGGCTTCGGCTCCTCTGCGGCCTCAGTGTGACTCTGCACAATGTTCCAATTAAGGCCGTGACCAGCATGTGGCTGTGGAGAGCCATGACCACAGCACAAATCATAAACAAACGCACTTAAAACTTCAGGAGATAACCGGGCACGGGTGGTGCACGCCTTCAATCCCAGTGCTGGGGAGGCAGAGGCAGGAGGATCTCTGAATTCGAGGCCAGCCTGGTCTACAGAGAGAGTTCCAGGACAGCCAGGGCTAAACAACATTAGGAGGTTGTGTGTGTGTGTGTGTGTGTGTGTGTGTGTGTGTAAAAAACACAGGCAGTTCTCAAGTGTGAACTTTGCAGATGACAGTATTGTCACAATATCAAAAGATATCAAAAGAATGGACATGTTGGCCTGGAGAGATGGCTTAGAGGTTGAGGACACTAGCTGCTCTTGCAACAGTCCTGAGTTCAATTCCCAGCAACCACATGGTGGCTCATAACCATTTATAGTGAGATCCGGTGCCATCTTTCTGGTGTGTAGGCACATGTGCAGGCAGAACACTGTAAAAATAAATACATTAAAAAAAAAAAAAAAAAGACAGCGACTAGCTAAGGAACCCACACTGGGCTGTGGCCGGGAGTTCAGGCTGTCCCAGTCAGTGTAAGCGGTGTCGCTGCTTTGGTGGTACTGGCGGCTGTGCCTGCACAGGGCTTACACCTCAAAGGTTACCAGATGAGCCAAGCATAGCGGTGCGCACCTTCAACCCCAGCACCCAGGAGGCAGAGACAGGTGGAGCTCTCTGAGTGAGTTCCAGGCTAGCCTGGGCTACACGCCTGTGTGAATAAACAGAGAGCGGTCTGGAGAGATGCTCTCCTGAACACCCAGGTTCAAGTCCTCAGCACCCACGAGGCCGCTCTCAACTGTCTTGTAACCCCAGTTCCAGAAAGTGCTGACCCCCTTTTCTGGACTCCTGGGACACTGCACACATGTGGTACACGGACAGACAAGCAGGCACAACACCCATATACATAAAACAAAAAATATGTAGACGTGAAAAAAAAAAATCAGACAAATCCAAGGCATCGTGTCATTCGATTTATAAGAAGTACACAGTGCCCCCTCCCTGGTCTTAGCCATGCTCTCGGGACAGAATCGACCCAGGAAATGCCCAGCGGTTCACCTACCTTGAAAGGGCCCTGGTCATACATGGTGGCATATGTGTAGGCAAATCCTCCTACGAGCACTCTGTCAAACCACCCTTTCAGAATGGCAGGCACTCCAAACCAGTGCATTGGGAACTGTGGGGCAAAAGGCATCCATGAGGTCAGGCCAGGGGTCTCCCCCACCCTCCCTTCCCCCTGTGGCCAAGAGGAGCTTAGGTGCTGAGCAACTGTCCAGTGTCACCACAGGGCACTTTGGCCCATGTCACTTCCTCTGGAAAAGTTAACACATTTTAGCAAAATGGGGTGGGGGTGGCCAGGGGGCGTGCCTTGCTCCCTCAGGATGAACTACTTGGGTGTGGTAGTGAGCGCCAGTTATGCTGAAACTCAGGAGGCCAAAAGAGACAAGAGATTGAATAATCAAGACCAGCCTGGGCTATGTACCAAGACCATCTCAAAAAAGCAAGAAAAGAAGTAGAAATACAATGGGCATGGGGCTAAGCAAGCGCAATCCCAGCAGCTCGGGAGGCTGGGACTGAGAGACTGTGAGTTCGAAGCTCAGACCAGACAGCAGAGTAAGGCCGTCTCAAAAATAGTCCTAGCACTTGGAAGGCAGAGGCAGGTCAAGTTTGAGGCCAGCCTAGTCTACATAGCGAGTTCCAGGTCAGCCACAACTATACGCTGAGGCCTAGTCACAAAACAACAACAAATGAAAAGAAAGACAGGGTTAGAGAGAAGGCTCACAGGTGAAGAGCATGTACTTCTCTTCCAGAAGACCCAGGTTCAGCCCTAGCATTCACGTCGAGTGGCTCGGAACTCTAGCTCCAAGGGACCCAACACCTACTTCTGGTCTTCACAGGCGCCCACACCTACACACACACCCACTCACAGACACACAGCTTGTATAATCTGTCAGATGTGGTGGAGCACACCTTTAATCCCGGCTCTCTGTGAGTTCTAGGCCAGCTTGTTCAACACCATGAATCCAGGTCAGCCAGGGCTACACAGGGAGACCCTGTCTCAAAACAAACAAAACTAAAGAAAACTATATCATACTTATATTAGTATTATATGTAGGACTAATATAGAGTCATAGATAGTACTTGACTCAGAATAACAAGGAGAAAATTCTATCCTTGGTTGGCCAGCTCGGCTCTCTCTTTTTCTCCCTCTTAAAAACTGCGAACACCGGGGCTGGAGAGAGGCCTCGGCAGTTAGGAGCACCTGCTGCTCATGACTTCTGATAATCTAACTCCAGTCCCAAAGACTCTGACACTCTTTTCTGCTCCCCGAGGCACTGCATGTACTTGGTACACACGCTGGCAAATGTCATTTGCATAAAAAAGTTTTTAAAAAAATTCTTGATTAAAAGAAAAAAAAAAAAGCCTGGTGGCGGAGGCAGCAGCATGCATCTTTAATCCCAGCGCTTGGGAGGCAGAGGCAGGGGGATCTCTGAGTTGGGAGGTCAACCTGGTCTACATCTAGAAACTCTGTCTCAAAAAAAACAGAACAAGAACTACAGACATTAGCTGGGTCTGAATAAGGCTGCATGCAAATAAGAGCCATTTCCGTGAAATCTAGCTGGTAGCAACGTCCAAGTGTTGAGGACGGCAGGCAGGTTTGCTTCCGTGAGCAATGACCGAATGTTCTCCCACCAGCTTGTGGTAGCAAGTGCGTGTGCACACAGATCCACGATCCTATCATCTAGAATAAACGAAGCCCCTCAGAGCGCACTCCTCCCCAGCTCCTCAAAACGCCATCTTACCTGCCCTCTGGTCCCAGGAAAAGCAGGGTCTGTTCTAGCGTTTACTCTCCTCAACACATGATTCAAAGCTCATGAACACAAGCAGGAAGGAAACCAGGACTAAGGAAGGATTTGTGGGCCTTGGAGAGAAGGCTCAGTCTGTAAAGAGTTGGTCCCACAAGTACCTGAGTTCAATTCCCAGGTACCCATGTGAAAAGCTGGGTGTGGTCAGCGTGTTTCTAATCTAGTCATGGGGAGGTCCAAAGAGGTGAATTCCTGGGGATCTCTGACTAGCCAGCCTAGCTGAATTGGTGAGCTCCAGGCCAACAAGAGACCCTGTCTCCAAGGAGATGGTTAGGATTCCAACCTCTGGCCTCCACACACACATGTATATATAAATATAACACAACAACAACAAAAAATAATTTTTAGAGCTGAAGCAGCTTCCTTCCACTTTCAAAAGGTTTCTGACCTAAAATAAAAAGGCTGCAGAGGTCCCAGATATTATTTGTTTTTAAAGGTGATGGTGGTTCACACCTTTAGTTCTAGCGCTCAGGAGGCAGAGGCAGGCAGATCTCTGTGAGTTCAAGGCCAGCCTGGTCTACAGAGTGAGTTCCAGGACAGCCAGAGCCCTGTGTACAAGGAAACCCTATTTCAAAAAAACAAACAAAGAGACATAGTTTCACATAGACCAGGCTATCCCTGAACTCCTGCTCCCCCTGCCTTCACTTCTCCAGTGTTAGGATAGACCATACTCAGCTCAGAGGTCAAGTTTATAACAAGAAGAAGAAGAAAAAAAAAAAAATACAAGATTGAACTGGCTGGGTCAGGTGTGCTTACACTCTCCTTAAACGCGATGTCATCTTCCACCACTGTGTACGTGTCTTTCACAGCCTTGGCCTGTGGAAGATCAACCTGAGGCTCACACGGTATTTAAGTCTAAAACATGGTGACTCTGAGACAGGAACTAGAAGCCACTCCTGTGGCTGCCTTGGCTGTCCAGGATGGCACAGGGCTAGGGCACCCTCCCAGCATGTATGAAGGCCTGGGTTCGACCCTCAGCACCACACAAACTGGATGGTGCACGCCTATAATCCCAGCACGAGGGTAGGGGCACACCTAATTCCTCAGCCCACCTGCTGAGAGGCGCCACTGCTGCGTGGGGAAGAAACCTCCAGCAGCGTCAGCCATGCAGCCGGGGTACTGAACATTCGGGGAAGTCACTGTCGCCCCGTGAACTGTCCCGGATGGGGAAGGGGCAGAAGGACAAACTTTAAGAGCACCCACACGGAGAGGCTACTAACTGGGTACCCTGGGAGAAAAGCTGGAAACTTCTGTGCCATCTCTGGAGCCGTGTAAAGTATATTGTACATGCAAAGTCTAATGTAGTCCCGGCACTGAGGACACAGAGGCAGGAGGATCAGGAGTTCCAGGACACCCTAAACTACATAGCCAGACCCTGACTCATAAAAATAATCAAACAAAGTGTGCCAGGGCCAGGCGTGTCGGCACACCGATACTCCCAGCCTGTTCCCAAGCCAGCCTGTTCTATATAGTGAGTTCCAAGCCAGACAGGACTGCATGGCAAGACCGTCTCAAAGAACAAAAGTGGGGACTGTCAACAGATAAAGGAACTTGCCAGCAAGCCTGATGCCTTGAATTCTATCCCCAGGACTGTATTGTGGGGGAAGAGAATCAACTCCTGATTATTGTCCTCCAGGCATAGAGTAATACACACACACACAGGCGCACGCACACTCACGCACACGCAGACACACACACCACATCAGCTCAAATGCATGTTCTCTAACTGACATCACAGAGTCCGAGAGAATGCAAGCGGATCTAGGACAATAATGACAAATGCCCCAGGCACAGCTCTCTTATGAGCCCTGTCCCAGCCATACCTGAAATATCACAAGGTCTGCAGCTTCCAGCTTTTTCTGTTCAGCCACAATATCTGGGCTCAGGCGGCCTTCCTTATATGCTAGAGCTGACTCAGCAGGATACTGAAAGTTCTCAGAGTCCTTCAGGTTACCTGTTGGAAGGAAAGAGGGATTGAGGCTGGGTCACAGGGTCCGCTGTCAATGAAGAGAAACAGTTCTTACCTGTGATGTCCTGTCTGGAAATGAGGGGGTTAAAATTCATAGCGTAGAGGTCAGATTCAACCACCTCCCATCCTTTCTTCTTCAGAGCCTCTACAGCAGCCTCCTTCATGGCATAGTTGAATGACGTCTTCTCTGAATGGGCCAATACAATCAGAGCTCTTCTCACTGATGAGAGATATGTGAGACATGGAAAGAAAATCAAAATGGGATTTTCTGCTTGGGACTAGACAGGTTTCCCACCCTAGTTTTTCAGATTGGAGAACAGTGGCTAGGATTATCAGTTCAGGGTGGTGAGATGGCTCAGGTGGTGAGAAAGGCTCTTGCTGCCAAGCCAGAGGAACTGAGGAAAATCCCCAGTGGTGGAAGGAGAGAGCCAGCCTCTGGACTAAGCACACAGACACACACACATGCACTAAATGTAATTAATTTTTTTTAAAAAAATCTGAAGTTCAGGGGCTGGAGAGATGGCTCCTCTGTTAAGAGCACTATCTGCTCTTCCAAAGGTCATGAGTTCAATTCCCGGCAACCACATGGTGGCTCACAACCATCTATAATGTGAACTGATTCCCTCTTCTGGCAGGTGTAAATGCAGATAGAACACTCATATACATAAAAAATAAATCTTAAAAAAAAAAATCTGAAGTCCAGAAGGCTCCAAAATCCAAAATATTGTGAACATCATGTCAGCACCCAAAAAAAGTTTCCTGGGTGGTAGTGACTCATGCCTTTAATCCCAGCACTTGGAAGGCAGAGGCAAGTGGATCTCTGTGAGTTCAAGGCCAGGCTGATCTACAGAGCTAGTTCAAGAACAGCCAGAGCTACATCCAAGAAATCCTGTCCCCAGAAACAAAACAAAACAAAACAAAACAGTTTCCCCAAATGCCAGGTGCACACCTTTAATCCTGACACTTAGGAGACAGAGGCAGGCAGGTGGCTCTCCATGTTCAAGGCCAGCCAGGACTTCATATGGAAACCCTGTCCCAAATTTTTTATTTATTTTGCAGTTGAAGAAAGGTGTTTATTGAGAGTGAGGAAACATACACACAGCAGATGCACAGAGAAAAAAAAATTACAGCAAAGGGACAGAAAGGGCACACTGAGGGGTAGATGTGGCCTCAGAAAGCCTGAAAATGCCCTGTTCCAAAATTACAGAAAAAAAACATAAGGCTGAGAGTGTAACTCATGGCAGAATGCTTGCCTAGCTCCTGGCTTCTTAGCAGCATTTAAAGAGGATTCGAATTTTAGAGCACCTCTGACTACAGCTCTTCTATCTGGACGGACCAGCAAAGCTTCAGCAACCAGGAAGCTGGGCACCATGAGGGAAGAAGGATGAGCGAGAGGTTACTGGAACCCATCTGTATTAGTTCACCCACTGTCTCATGACAGTTCTGTTGCAGTGAAGAGACCAAGGCAACTCTTATAAAAGTAAGCATTTAACTGGGGCCGGCTTATAGTTTCAGAGGGTTAGTCCATTACCATCGTGCCAGGGAGCATGGCGTCACTTGCAACACTGGCACAGAAGCTGAGAACTACATCCTGATCCACAGGAAGAGAAAGAGGGGGCAACAGAGGGCCTGACTTGGGCGATTGAAACCTCAAAGCCCACCCTGAAGTGACATACTTCCTCCAACAAGGCCACACCTCCTTCCAATCCTTCCAAATCCTTTTAATCCTTTCAAACAGTGGCCACTCTCTATTGACTAAGTGTTCGAATATATGAGCCTCCAGGGGCCATTCTTATTCAAACTGCCCTGCTTACTGTTGCTACAACTGAACACCACAGACTAGATGGTTACAAAAAAGGAAGGTTTATTCAGTTCCCACTAGGAGTTGGGAAGAGGCAGCCCCCTGGTACAGGCCTTCTTGAGGATGGGACTCTGAAGAGTCCTAAGACAGCGCTGGGTAACACAAGGCTAGAGGGGCAGATCCCAGACAGAACCATACCGGCTCTTACAACGCACCCAACTCTAAAACAACCTCTCCACACACAAATGCACAGTTCATTTCTGAGGAGAGAGCCATTTTGACCCAACCACCTCTCACCCTGTGAGAGAGGGTCTCATGTAGCCAAGGCTAGCTTCAAACTCATCATGTAATAGAGGATAACCTTGAACCCCTGATCCTCCTATGTCTACCTTGCAAACGCTGAGATCTCCAGGCCCACTCCAGTCACCTCATTAATGTCCCATTTAGTTCTTCTTCTCAATATGTCCCCACAGTGATTAAATTCCAGTGTGTGTATGTGCACTCACTCGTGTGTGCGCGTGTCTGTGTGTGTTTATATGTGAGTACACACATGTGGAGGCCAGAGGGCAACCTTGGGGGTCATTCCTCAGGCACCTTCTACCCTGTTTGAAATCTGGTCTCTCACTAGCCTGGAAATGACCAAGTAGGCCAGGCCGGCTGCTGGCAAGCCCAGGGACTTTCCTGACTCTGTTTCCCCACACTGAGACTATAAGCACAGGCTGCCCACCATACCTGGCCTCTTTAAAACAGCAACAACAAAGCATGGGTTCTAGGGGACCTCAGCTCAGGTCCTTATCCTTGTAGCATCATGTCCACTGCAGCTGTAAATAAAAGTGCCCATGACTGAGAGGAGCACTTGAGTCCAGCTTCAGTTCTGCATGCCTTGGTTCTGGCTTCCACTTATGAGGATTTGAACATGAAATGGCGCACAGCTAGGTCTAGGTGTTCCTGTCTGGAAATCCCAGCGTTTGAGAGGCAGAAGCAGGAGGTTCCCACCAGCCTGAGGTGCAAAACTGGGCCTGTCTCAAAACAATAAAAAGTCCCTCCGGGCAAAGTCCCCAGATGACAGTGCTACTCTAGAAGGTGGCAGAACTCTGAGCGCAGAGGGTTGGGGGGCCCAGGTGAGGGCGGCTGGAAGAAGTGAGTCACTGGGGTGTGCCTCTGAACTGGCCCTCTGGTGCTTCTCTCCCTTCTCTGCCATGGGACGAGGAGTCTACCACAGGCTCCCAACTCCATCTGGTCACAGCTGTGAGAAGTAGCTAATAAGGATGGGAAGGGGCTGGGAGAGCAGCAAGGCTGTCAGAGCCTCAGGATGTAAGTGTGAGCACAGCGGGTAATGCCTCCAGGAGCTGTGAGAGGCTCCTGGCGAAAAGCAGAGGGCCGTTTACCTCAGGTCCATGTGTTCCCTGGATTGCTCTTGGACATCGTGTCTCCAGGTTCAAATTCAGTTGTAAGACGTGTTTATTCTCATTGGCCGTTGGAACACAGCTATAGAACCCAATCTGGTAAAGGAGATGCCGAGTGCTGTCCTCGGGGGACCCTGCATTTGGACGTGGCCTCTGCCTTGCTCTCGTGCTTACCCAGACGGACTCTCTTACACGCCAGGCAACTGTGTTTAAACGGGACTGGCCGGAGAACCTTCCGGGGAAGGGCTGCCCCGCTGATATTTGGCATGTGCTTCTTGGCATTTATTTACATGTTTTCCTGAACTCGGCCTTCCTGGGATCCCTGCTCTTTGTTACCCTCTTGTATAAACTGAACGTACCATTGTGGAGTGTAGGCTGAGCGTAAACTTGCACCCTGGGTGTGAACTTATATATGGAAACTGAGGTAAGCTTGCCTACAGCGTGAGACTGCAGAACTACCCATTGTTTATGCAACTCAAATCCCAGGTCGCAAAGACAGGTCCTCAGAAGAACGTGAAAAACAGACGACGGTGTGGTCCTCCGATCTTCACACAAGTGTCGAGGCACCTTCACTTACACATACACACAGGCATGCACGCACGCACCACTCTAAAACCAAGTGAACCCTAAAAGGAAAACGGAAGGAAGGGATGGAGGGAGAAGCATAAAGAAAGCATTCCGAGTCAGTGAGAAATTTGTGTCTAATGAGGTTGGCATTTTGGTTTTTGTGGGGTTGTTCGTTTGTTTTTGTGAGACAGAGTTTCACTGTATAGCCTGAGTGCCAGGATTAAAGGTGTGCATCTCCAGAGCATGGCTACCACCACCAAACAATGTTGGCATATTTAATTGGCCACCTACACGAAAAATCATCTCCCTAGAAAATCACCATGCTGATACCCTTACCAGGATGGTGACTAAGTTACAAAAGGACCCTCTGAGTGCTGTAAGTACAGTTTCTTGGGCTGGTGTTAAATAACTTTTTATTTTAGGATTTATTTTTGTGTATGTGTCATTTGTATGCAGCTTCTACTGGAGGCCAGAAGGGGGCGCTGAACCCCTGGAGCTGGAGTTGCAGGCATTTGTGGGGTGCCCGGCTTGAGCTTGCTCTGTGGGTGCTGCAATCTGAACTCTGGTCCTCAGGATTATGCAGCAAATGATAACCCAACCATCTCTCAGCCTCTGGTTTTCATTTGAATTATTTCACAAACAGAAATCACTTCCAGGATGATTACAGACCTCAATGTTTGTTCTGGGCTGAGTTCTGAAACGAATCAGGAATTCCTGTCAGCCCTTCTGGGCAACACCAGCTTCTGCTTTGCATCTCACCGGAGCTGGCGAATCTAATAACTCTGAGTCTGCTTTCGGTTTGATGCTGGAGAAGCAATCTGAAGCCCCACACCCTCTAGGACTGAGCCAGCCCCACAGCCCTGGCACGGTTTTGCCAGCGCCTTTTGCTCCCCGATCGACAGGTTGTTTATTGTTCCATGAATCCTGAAACGGGTCACTCTTGCTCCTCTCCTGCACCTGTGCTTGATTCCAAGGCCACTCACCCCTGAAATGATCAGAAACCAAGCTCTCAGCTGTGCCGTTGTTAACTGGGGACTCATTACTGTGGAGCCTGAACTAATTTTTGGCCGGGTGTGGTGGTGAAAGCCTTTAATCCCAGCACTTGTGAGACAGACATGGATCTCTGTGAGTGAGAGGCCAGCTCTGTGGGTGCTGGGGATTAAGCTCTGCAAAGCAGCCAGTGTGCTCAACCAATGAGCCGGCTCTCTGCCCCCTTCCTTTTGTTCGTTTTGTTTTCTGAGACAGAGTCTCTCTGTGCAGCCCTGCTTGCCCTAGAGCTTGTTATGTACAGCAGGCTGGCCTCACACTTACAGAGATCCATCCGCCTCAATCTCCCAAGTGCTTTTAAATTACATTACTTAGTGTGTGTGTGTGTGTGTGTGTGTGTTTTGGACAGAACTTGCCAGAGTTTGTTCTTTCTTTCCCTGTTGAGTCCCAGAGATGGGAGCTCGGGTCATGGAGCCTGGTAGCTGGTACTCTCATCCAACAACATTCTCGCCAACCCTGACCCTAAATGTTGGTTGCTGAAGCTCTCTGGAGAGCCACCTGGAGACAAACCTCCATCCTCATCTACAGCTCCTACTCTTATTTTCGGTCGCCAGCCAATCTGAATGCCAGCATGGCCCCTAGCCCCCTGCAATGAGCCTCACAGCTTCACTGAGGCTCGCTGAAGAGACTTCCTCCATCAGACCGGCCTATGCGCATGTCGGTGGCGGCTTGATGAGTGATTAATCTTGACTAGTGATTGTTGTGGGAGGGTCAACTCACTGTGGTTGGTGTCACCCTTGGAAAGGTGCCACTAGGTTATATCAAAAAATAGGCTGAAGAGTCAGAGAGCAAGCCAGTAAGCAGAGTTTCTTCTGCTTCAGTTCCTGCCTTGACGTCCCTTGGTGTTGAACCCAGAACTACAGGAGGAAGCATGCCCTTCCCCCTCTCCCCCAGGTGCTTTCGGTCAGTGTTCTATCACCACAACAGAAAGCAAAGTAGGATGCCTGTTAGGGCCTACGGTTGCCAGCACCTTTCTGTTTCATTTTGTTTTCATTATTTTGTTAAGGGAAAACAGCAGACACAGCCTGCTGAAAACCCTCCTCTGCCGCCTGAACCTTACTGCTGCCAGAACTCAGAGGGAAGCTCTGTTGGGAAGCAGGCTGGGAGGCTAGCTGGTCAAGACAGCACCAGATGCCAGTCAAGAACTAGACAAAATCATGATGGTAACCGCCAAGGGTCTCTCCCCTTCCTCACCCCTGGGTTGATGGCAAAGTGTTGGGGGAGGGGGATTTTCCCCTCCACAGTCACAGTAGAACTCCCCAAGGGCCAGGCCAGCTGGAGTTGGGTTCCAGTCCTGTCACACTGCTTCCCAGCTCAAGCCCTCCTCATCACTACATCTTCCCATTTTCTTCCCTAAGTTGGCAATCCATTTCTTGGTCTGTTCAGGTTCTGTTCTTGTTGTTTTGAGACAGTCTCTATCATGTAGCTCTGTGTGTCCTGGAACTGGCTCTGTACACCAGGCTGGCTTCGAACTTAAAAAGACCCGGCTGCCTCAGCATCCCGAGTCCTGGAATTAAAGGCCTGTGTCACCAAGCCCGGCAAAACTCCCTATAAATTGCCTGTTTTCATTTTTAGATATTTAGCAAAAGCTGAAATACTATCTGACCTAGGCTAGGCGGGGAATGTGCACGGTGCTCAGGTAGTAGAGTGCTTGCCTATCACGTCCGAAGTCCTGCTTTCAAGCCAATTTCCAGTGCCATATAAACCAGGCGTAGTGATGCACACCCGTAATCCTGGCGCTTAGGCTGTGGAGGCACGAAGACCCTCAATTGAAGGCTGCCCTTCGCTCTGCAGCAATTTTATGGCCAACCTGGGTACATGAGGCTATGTCTGAATAGTCCAAACAAGGTGCGGAAAGTGGCCAGCCAGCTCTGTTAGGGAAGGGTACAGAAGGAGCAATGGCTGGGGTTCCCCATGGGTGATCGCTTCACTTCTCCTCCTCCGCGGACGCAAGCAACAAAACTCCCAGCAAGCCTGCGTCCTCCTCGGGAAGGATCATGCTGGAGCTGGCGCCCGTACTCACCAGCCATGGCTCCGGATATTGAGGGTGAACCTTAGTGCCAAGCGCCGATTGGCTGAACAGCTGGTTGTCAGGAGGGCACAGAGGAGTTTCGCTGGGGAGAGTGTAAGCTGGGCGAGCTGAGCTCCTGCAGGCTTTATACCCGGCCGAGCCCCGCCCCGGCCCGTCCACTGAGAGGGGAAGCCAGCGAGGGCGGGGCTGGATTCCGGAACCGAGGCCCTTGGGGAGAGGACACGAAGTTATTGTCAGCTAAGGGCTGGAATAGGAGTCCTGGGATAGGACTCCTGCATAGGCAAAGTCAAAAGGGCTCTCTAGGACCCGGGGAGTGAGAGGGGATTTGAGGAGATGGGAACATACTGGGTAAACTCATCTGCCCCCCCTGCCCTGGCCCTCCCCCTGCCCTGGCCCTCCTGGGCACGAAATGGAAATTTCCAACAGAAATATCCGACCTGTGTGGGCTAGTCCCTGCTCAGCCCTGGGAAGTAGCCTCTGCACGCACAGGGAAGGGTGGGGCTGGCAGAGGAGGGACTCGGATTTCGCCAAGTCACTGTGACTCCGGGGAGAGGCTTGTCCTGGTGTGCGGTTTCTTCTTCGCAGCGTTCTGATTCTGCTCTTAGAAACGTCGCAAAGACTGACCCCTGCGGGTATAGGCTTGGCTCGCCTCGATGCTGCCCCTGGTGGTGGCCAGGTCACAGAGAACTGACCAGTGTGGCCCTCCCGGAAGCTAGAGCCAAGCTGGCGGGGGAGACAGTGAACACGGGGAAGTATTTCAGTAGCCAGGCAGGTGAACTTCTAATAACTTTACAGAGAGATTTACAACAGAACGTAGAACAGAATAAAAAGGCTTCAAATCCCAGTAAGTAAGGGGGCTGGAGAGATGGCTCAGAGGTTAAGGGCACTGGCTGTTCTTCCAAATGGTCCTCAGTTCAATTCCCAGCAACCACATGGTGGCTCATCAACCATCTGTAGTGCCCTCTTCTGGCCTGCAGGCGTACATGCATGCTGTATATATAGACACGCCGCATAAATAATAAGTAAATCTAAACAATTATTTTTAAAAATCTCAGTAAGTAAAACTTACGCTTGGGCATAGTAGCCCACGCCTTTAATCCCAGCAGCCAGGAGTCAGCGGCAGGTGGATCCCTGAGTTCAGGACCAACCTACTCCACCGGTGAGTTCTAGGAGGGTCTGTGCTACAGAACAAAAGGGAGATGGTCTTTAAATCTAAGGGGGCTGGAGAGAGGTGTTGAGTGAACTGGCAGCTTTTCCAGAAACTCCGTTCAGTCCCCAGCACCTAGCAGGGCCGTCCACACCGCCTGTAACCCGGCTCCAGGGGATCCAGCCTGACACAGCCAGGGTACGGTGCACACACAGAGACACAGGGAGGGTTTTTTTGTTTTGTTTTGTTTTGTTTTGTTTTTTAATGTCATGCAAGAGAAATAATATGTTAGCATGAGCCATTACCCAGCATTTGGGCTTCCTCCCAATCAGCTATGTCACAAGACTGGGAAAGGGGAGGGACTATGCTAACAGAGGTGCCTATTTAACACATCAAAGCTGACCTCAAACCATCAGATTCTCCCAGCATCCCTCAGTCCCTACCTGTTAAGGGGCATGGCTGGCATACCCTGCCCCCTACCCTGAACTATGCAGCCCAGCGCCTGGGCTGCCCTCACCCCAGGATTCTTCTCCATACAGTCCAGACATTTTGCTACTCTGGTCTCCTGGCTCTCCCCTGCCCATTCTCCTTAGATGGCCCAGCTCAGAGACATCATCCCTCTGGACATCTGCCAGATGTTTCTGACACTGGCTATGCGCTCTCTTTTATCTACAATAAACCTCTTGAGACTCCAGTTTACAAAGACCCAGAAACTGTGTCTGTCAGTGAGAGACCAAAGAATTGAAAATTGGTTTTTGGAGTATTAGTTTGGGGTTTGGAGCACAGGACAGAGTGAAGGCCAGCCAGGTGGAGGCATGTCCAGACATGTAGGGAAAGGAACTCTCTTTACTGCATTCTTTTCCTGCCCACTAGAGATACAGTTGCTAGGAAACGGATCCAGAAGGCCAGGCCAGAATCGCTTATGGTCCTGGCGCCTAAGGTAAACCAGTCATTTCAAAAGTACTTTCCCTTACCCAGTCATGTAACACCAAGACCTGTAACTCCCTGCTTGCCCCCCCCCTCCCCCCCGCTTTAAAAACCTTGTGCCTCTAGACCTTGGGTCGCATTCCTCTCCAGCTTACACAGAAAGTTTGGGACCCGTGCTCAAACACATACAATTAACCCTCATGTATTTGCAGCAGAGCTTTTTTTTTTTTTTTCAGGGTCGCACTATATAGCCTAGGCTAGTCTCAAACTTGCAACCCTCTGTCTCAGCTTCCGGGAATACAGGCCGTACCGTCATACCCAGCAAAACATTCCCTGTGGCTTATAACAAGAGCTCAACTAAAATGACCTTCATAGATCGTGAAGGATTTTTTTTTTTTTTTTCTGATGTAGCAAATCACATTTTGGTTGCAGCTCATAGAAGGCGGGCGAGGTAGGTCAGTCTTCTTCCAGGAGGCTGTTTGTACATTCACCAGAAGGAACAAGACCTCCAGGCAAGAACTCAATTGTTACCAAAGAAAAGCTGTGTGTGGGGAGCCTGGGGGGGTGCATTTCCTGCCTCTTGACTGGAGTGACTCATGGGTTGAACCACTGGTGTGTACTGAAACCTCACCTCACGGGCCGTAGGGAGGGGGAGTAAACATTAGGCTCCCCTGCTCCTAGCAGGTCAAGCCACCCTGCCTCAGCACCCACCGTGCCTCCCAGAATTACAATCTCAGTAACTCAGCTTACGGAAGGGCATCCATGCGTAGGAAGCTTTGGTGTAGTGCAGCAGCAAACACAGACTCTTACGTGCAGACAGACACACTGGCCATCTCAGCTCTGACTTTCTTTCCATTGCTACGTGCTGGTTTCACAGGCAGGCACCATGACTGGCTTCTTTTTATTTTATTTTTTTGAGACACATTCTCCTGTAGCTCACTCTTGTAGCCTAGGCTGACCTTGAACTGCTGATCCTCCTGCCTCAAGCTTCCCAAGTGAGCCCCCCATTTTTCTTTCTCCTTTGAAGGGTATCTATTTATTCATTCTTGTAAGGCCTGAATCCAGAGCCTTGAACATATCAAGCAAACACTTTATTTCCGAATCACCTTTTTAGCACCCCTTCTGTCCTTTTTGCTATTCTCAAAGCTGGCTTCAAAGTCCTGATTTTTCTTTAAATTAAAAAAAAATTTTTTTTCCATTATTTTCACAGTGTTGAGTGGAGGTCAGAGAACAGCCTGAGGGAGAGTGTCATGGGGGTCTCAGGGGTCAAACTCAGGCCGTCAGGCTTGGCAGCCATCAATTTACCTATGAGCCATCTTACCTGCCCCTAGGTTTTCAAGACAGTTTCTCTGTGTAGCCTTGGCAGTCCTGGAACTTGCTCTTGGTACACAGGCCTCAAACTCACAGAGGCCCACCTTCCTCTGCCTTCCGAGTGCTGGGATTAAAGACATGCACTCCCACTGCCTGGCTCAAAAGGTTTTTTTGTTTTGTTTTTTAAGGCTAGGGTGACAGCACAGCGGCGCAGCACTTGCCAAGTTCTCGTGAGGCCCTGCCATACAAGGTTAAGCAAGTCTATAAAAGATAGCCCGTGGTGCTGGAGCGGTGGCTCAGTGGTTAAGAGCACTGTCTGCTCTTCCGAAGGACCCGGGTTCAATTCCCAGCACCCACATGGCAGCTCACAACTATCTGTAATACCAATTCCAAGGGATCTGACACCTTTACACTAATGCACATAAAATTAAATTATATATCTCCAGGCTTGGGGCAGTAATCCCAATACTAGGGGAAGCAGAGGCAGAAGGATTGCTGTGAGTTTGAGACCAGCCTGGTCTACAGAGCGAGTTCTAGGACAGCCAGGGCTACACAGAGAAACTGTCTTGAAAAACAAAACAAAACAAAAATCCCCAAACCCTTTGAGACGAGCTCTCCCTAAGTTGTCCAGACTGGTCTTGAACTGCAGTCTAGACAATCCTGCACTTGTCTGCAGCCTCAGCCCCAAGAACAAGACTACTCCAGCCGGTGCTACCGGGCCAGTTGGCTTAGTCTTCATCAGTCACTAAGGAGATCAGAACATCAAACAGGCGCTCGGTGCCACGACCTAAGATACGAGGGCCCCAGCCTAACTGCTCAAACAAGGAAAGAGTATGTTCCAGGAGTTTGGACTGTACTTTACATAGGAACTGCCATGACTCTAATCCTTTGGCAGGAAGTGATCGTTCACAACACAGCCGTGCTCACTGGTGGTAACTAGCATCTTTTCTTTTGAGACAGAGTTGCACTAGGCAGCCCTGCCTACCGGAACTCACATATGTAGACTGGGCAGGCCTAGGAATCAGAGATCTGCCTGCTTGTGCCTCCCTTGTGCTGGAATTAGAGGTGCAAATAGACCAGCACACGTGGCTTGGCAGTAGTATTTCTGAGCTTGCAAGACCTTCTTCCTTCTCACGGCAATGCCGTGAACTATGAGACTCCCATTTGGTAGCAGAAAAGCTCTTTTTTGGTTTCTGTTTTCCAAGACAGGGTTTCTCTGTGTAGCCATGGCTGTCCTGTCAGGTCTGTAGAACAGGCTGGCCTCAAACTCCCAGAGATCTACCATGCCTCCTGAGTGCTGGGCTTAAAGGAGTTCAATCAGAGACTCTCATAGAGTTATGACTGATCCAGGGATTTGAATCCATACTTGGGCTCTGACCTGGCCCCTTTCTCTTGCTAAACTCTTGTCTCCTCTTAGGCTTGAGCCCTGGGGATCTATAGTGAGCGTGATACATACATATGCATGTATGTATGTGTGTAAGTACCATGCTATAGATCGGCAATCCACAGAAGTGAAATTTACCTCAGGCTGAGGAGTAGCTCAGTGAGAAAACACTGCTCAGCATTCAGGAGGCCGTGACCCACCCTCAGCACCAAATAATTTAAATGAAGGCTGTACTTAAACACATCGGTCAGAGATGGTGAAAATCTCTAGATGTGGGCAGCTGCTGGCTTTTCACTCCTTTCAGGACGTTCTCAATAAGAAGTAGTAGTTAATTATTCGCAGAATATGTGCGTTCTCTCCTAACTGAAGCCAAACACTGGGCAAGAAACAAATTTAGTGAGAGGGGGTTTATATTGGCCAATGGTTGAGGAGATGCAGTCCCTGGTCGTGGGGAAGGGGCAGTGGTGGTGGCTCTGCGGCAGCAGGAGGAGGCAGTGGCTGCTTGCTCTCAGCTCGGTGGACCAGAGACTGGGAAGTGTGACCCGGCCAGAAGGCTTAAGAATTGTCCCTCCAGCAATACCGTCTCTCAAAACAAGCTGGGGACCAAGGGTCCCATGAGGCTTTGAGGTAACTTTTAAAAATTATTTTGGGGCTGGAGAGAGATGGCTGATTTTAAAAACACTGGCTGCTCTTCCAAAGGTCCTGCTGGGATGGTGCCCTCCGTGCTGACCTTCCGTGTTGTATGCCAGAGCATCTAGCTTCCTGCTGTGCCCCTTGCACAAGCTCCAGCACCATAGCATCCAAAATCCCTCTAAGGCATAGGCCTGTCACTGGTAATCATTGTGCAGGACTTGAGTCTGGGCTCCAGCACTCATGTCAAAAGTACAAATTCTTCAGCCTCCGGCCTCCCCCTCTCACTGTGGGAAACGAGACAGGAGACAGGAAAGTGAGTTAAGCGGACTGCCCTTAACAGAGTTGAACTAACTTTGCTGCCATGCCACAAGTGAACTGTAGGTGGCAGTGGTCACTGTCTCTCCCCATTCCTCTCACCAGGAGAGGGTCTGAACATCCTTTACAGCGTGCAGGTTATCTATCTTCTATCTACGAATTCCCAATTTTTTCTCTTTGCAACCCAGGCTGTCCTGGAACTAACTCTGTAGACCAGGCTGGCTTCCGACTCAGAGATCTGCCTCCCTGTGCATCCTGAGTGCAGGGATTTAAGGTGTGCACTAGTGCTCAGCCAAGTAAAACAACTTCTTTAAAGAAACCTTCTAAAGCCAGGCCAGGTGGCTCATGCCTTCAATGGCAGACTTGGGAGGCAGGGGCAGGGTCTCCGAGTTTAAGGCCAGCCTGGTCTACAGTGAGTTCCAGCCAGGGCTCAGCGCCCACCTCACAATCCCCCCAGGTTTAGACACACAGACTTAGCCGAAATCTTGGGCTCTTTAGTGATAATCTGGTCAAGTCATGGGAAGCCTAACTGAGCATCTCTGTGCCCTGAACTGCTGCAGCTCTGCTGATACTTGACTTGGTGACTGCTTGATGGAGTACTGGGCAGCTGATGTGAGTGAGCCATCCTGGCTGCTTTCCCGTGCTGAGGATGTATTTAATAGGACTTTCCCTCCGTCTGATTAAACACTGCAGTTACGTAAACGTCCATCCTTTCTCCCAGAGTTAGTGGTATGTAAAGTCCACCCATCAGCCAAACGTGACCCCAAATGAAAGGCTGCAATGTGGATTTACTACACTGCATTTTTTCTGGATGACTGAAATTTTATCCCCCACACTCCAAAAAAGCTTAAAAATTTAAAGTTTTATTGTAGAGTACTTAGTTTCTGGCATAAAGTAATCTATAGAGTTGGTCCTCAGGCAATGGTCATGTTAGTGTCCACATCCACAAAGGGCATGAGAACAGAAAGGCAGAGGAGCTGACCAACAAGTTTATTAGAAAAAGATTATCATTTGGGTATTTCTTCCTTTGAACTTCAAGGCTCAACATCTGCTGCAGGCCCGCTTCCTTCTGCTTCCAGCTCCCCTTCCCAGGCGGAGTCCGGCTCTGCGTGCTCACAGCAGGGCGGCGTGTGCGCTGCAACCTCACACAGCACCGGCTCAGGCAGCCTCGAGAGCCAGGCCTACTCTTCTGTCTAGGCGGCTGAGACCAGACACTGGGGATGATACTCCAGAGCTCCTCTGCAGCGGGCTGCAAGGCGCTTTGCCTGCAGGGCTTGCGACATCACCTCTTCTTTACAAACTTCTTTCTGGAAGCATTGGGGTTCAAGCGTCTCCGCCCCGCTCCCAGGGTGCTGTCCCGGACTTGCAGGGTGGCGGAGCGGCTGGAGATGTCATTCTCTGCGAAGGGGGACACCCCGGCTATGTAGTCAGGGGCAAACACGTTAGTCTTCTGCCTGGCCTTGTAGGACAGCCGCAGCTGCGGGAAGCGCTGATCCTCGGTCAGGTGGGGGTTGACGGCGTATTTGCCTCCTTTGGGAGTGGGCAGTGAGTACTACAAGAGGAAAAGACAGTTAGGATGTGACCCTGCTCACACAGGCCCACGCGTGTCCATCAAGCATCCCTTCAGGTCCTCCTGCAGACACAACTGTCCAGCCCACTCCAGGCCAGTAAGACAAGTCTCTCACACCATGCTCAACTGACAGATGAAAACCCAAAGGCAGCGCCTTAACTACACACTCTCAGCTAAAGACAAATGGACAGAGAACTTCAAGAAGCTGACGCCATTTCCACAGAGGTGCAAATTATCAGCTCTGAAACGGCCACATGGGTTCTAGGCCGAACAAAATAAACTACCGTGAAAAAAGGTATTATCCGGGTTTCATGAATGGGGGTGAGGCAGCTTTGAATGCACTGTTGGTTCACATCCAGGGCTGCCGTCTTTGCCACTAAAAGCATTCTTAACCAGGCACGGTGGTGCACTCCCAAGATCCCAGTACCTGGGAGACAGAGATAAGAGGACCCGGAGTGCAAGGCCATCGTTGGTTATATATCGTTGGTTATATGGCAAACTCAAGGTCAGCCAAAACTATTTTACCTAAAAAAGTGCTTCAACTCCTAAGAGAGGGGCTGGGGATGCTGCTCAGTTGGCTGAGTGTCTGCCTAGCAGACATGAAAGCCTCAGGCTTCATCCCCAATCTCGTGACACACAAGATTGTGTGAGGCAGTAATCCTAGCACTTAGGAAGCAGAGGCAGCAGGAGACTATCTCAAACCAAAACACACAGCCACATGCCTTCCCCACACCCTATTCTAGGTCGGGGACAGGAGTCGGAAGCTCTGGAAACAACCTGCTGTCAGGAGGAAGAGCAAAGAGCTGCCAAGAGCTGAGGTGCAGCAGGTCTGCCAGGGCTCTCTCTAGCCAAGCACGAACTACATGAGCCCCACAGCAAAGAGTGAAATAAAGCGGAGCCTAGAGCAGAAAATGAAAATCCACAGGACAGGCTGGAGGAGGGTGATGCACACCTCCAGTCCCAGCACTTGGGAGGCAGAGGCAGGCGGATCTCTGAGTTTGAGGCCAGCCTGCTCTAAAAAAACGAATCCAGGATAGCCAGGGCTACCCAGAGAAACCCTGTCTCCAAGAGGATGACAGCAGATTGGTAAGCCACTGCACTCTTACACTCTCCCTCCATTATTCTGGTCCGTGCTCATAACTGCTGAGCCATCCCTCCAGGACCCCCTCCCATCTTTTACAGGTTCGCTCTGTAGCCACGTGGCCTCCACCTTGTAGATAATCTGCCTGAGCCCTTGAGTGCTGGAGTTACAAGCACAAGCCACCACACCTGGCTGCTCTGTCTTGATCCACTCACACAAACCCAGGACTCTGCTGTGCGGGGGCATTCGCTTTGCCCTCCTCCCTCCACTTCAGAGCTCAGAGTGTGCTCGGCCTTTAAATTCCCACAAAAGCCTCTTCTGTGTTCCAAATGAACCCTGCTGAGCAGGTGGCTCCTCACTGCTCCTCCCCACATCTTATATACTTCCTGCCTGGGCACCAAGAACACTTCCGGACTCATCAGCGGGGTGACTAGCTGGCTCTCCCTTTGTTCTCTGGTCTTTTTAGTAGCTAAGGCTGGGCTTGAACTCTGTTCTTCCTGCCTCCACCCAAGTGCTAGGATTCCAGGTGTGTGTCACCACTCTGCCCAGTTCTCCCTTGGTCATTCGGTTCTGAAGTTGTTAGGATTCAGGATGCATGCCACCTACCCGGAGGCCTCTTGGGTTCAGCACTTTGGGGTTTCGGGAGAAATGCATGTGCAAGGTACCGTCGTCATTGATAGTCACAGACACCTTTTTCAGGGTCTTGTTCCCACAGTGCCCGCAGAATACTCGGTTCGTGTCCGATGTCGTCCTAGGGTACACAAAAGAAAGGCTGCTCACTAGTACCACAGGAGACCCCACCTTTCCTCAGAGAAAGAAATGACAGGAAATGCAGAAAAAGCTTATTCTTGTTATACCCATCTTCCAAAACTCAAAGGCTGCTAGCCTTATGCTAAAGGGAGATGAAGCAAAGAGAAGCTGCCTTCCTCAGAGGGAAAAGGGCAAGATGTGGGCACATTAACAATGCATACAGCAGCACTCAGGCATTATCCGTGAGTGTAACACCAACCACCACCGAGCCGGTGCAACCTCTATCTCACAGGTGGGAAACAAGACCAAGGAACCACCTGGAAGCGGCAGAACAGCGCAGCGTGGAAGCTACCGACATCACAGTCCTTCTGCTCTAATCCACTGTTCCCCAGATGGCAGCCGGGGCGAATTTAGGAGTTGGCAGAAATTAAGTGAACCCTACAGGAAACAATATAAAAGCTGCCTGGGCTGACCAGTGTGAGACCCTGTCCCTTTCATCTACTCAGCTCCATAGAGAACCCAGGACAGGAAAAAGCTGCCACAGTCAAAGGCCAGGGTGCAACCTCAGCCATCTCGTCTCCACAACCCCCAAGGGAAGAGGCAGAGTTGGTCAAAGGGCTGGAAAAGACAAACCCTCACCTGCAAGTCTCCGGAGCCTGAACAAACGCCTCTGCAAGGGGCTGTGGACTAACTACTCTGGAAGCAGCTCAGCAGCCACTGCCACATTGAGTGTGAGTGTGTGTATCTGTCTCTCTTGGGGTGGGAGGATGGGGACAGACGGACACTAAGAACTTTTGTACTGGGGACAGTGGAAGAAGTGGCTTTTCTAAAACAAGGAGCTGTTATTAGCCTCATGCATTGAACACTGCAGCTAGAAGGCTGCAGAAGCGACACCACTGTAGAGGGTGGCGGCAAGGCTAGGGCATGGGCTTCTAGGGATACAAGTTCACACCAGGAAGCTCCAATCTCATCAACTGAACTTCAGGCCCAGCAAAACACCTCAATGCTTCAGCACCATCCCACACCAGGCTTCTTCAAAGCAGGGCTCTGCCGGGTGCCCACAGATGTCTACAGAGGAAACCCTGACACAGAATGGCCATAGCCTCCCTTCAGGTCCTGGGAGCGTACTGCCAGAGCAAGGCTGTGGCTGTGTCTTTCAGTCCACCCAGCCTCCAGGGCCTATTCAGAAAACACCCCCACCACCACCTTCAATAAGAAACAGGGTGCTCGACCAGCTGACAGTCCAACAGGGAACATTTCCTATGTGCCAAAGACCCCGCTAAATCCCCATGATTTATGTTCCCGGTTTCTTAAAACAAATCTTTCAATTTAAAGACACGTGTAAAGAGATAGGAAGGCAACTACCTGGTAATGCCTGCAGACCATAGAGACAAAGCATGGAGACATGAACCCAGGCACTGTGGACTCACGCACTACTTTGTGTGTATGTAGTTGGAAAATTCCAGACATCAAGTAGCTGTACAAACACAATGAATCCCCATGTAACCAGCTTGACTATCCACTCACAGCTACTGTGTTTCACATTTACCCTACATTCTGTCCTCCTGTGTCACTGGGAACAAATCCCAGACCTCTCTCCATCCACATCATCAGAGAACAAGTGACCTCTGTTCCAGAACCCACACCCTTAACTCTAGGCCCCTCAGAGACGTGTGTAGAAAAGACAGGACACTGGCAACCTCTGTCCCAGGGACTTCAGTGTGGTGGAGACAGTAGGGACCCACAAAGGAACACAGAGGCGAAAGCAAAGCACACGTGACACAGGGCTTTCTTCTGGGTGGTCACCAGCAGGGACAGGAACAGGAAGGCCCCAGGCACGTACTTGAAACAGCCATGACAGCGCAAGATGTAGCTCCGGGCCTCTCGGATCAGCATGCCGTTCACTGCCAGCACGTGCAGCCCCAGCTGGAGGAGGACATTCTACAACCAACACGTTAACGAGTAACTCAAGTCAGCTTCTTTAATAGCGGTAATTCTGTCCACGGTTCTGGGAACCCACCATCCTTGTTTGGCTTCCTATCCCTGGCTCTTGTTAAAGAACACGAGAGACCCGGCTGGGAAGACAGGGACCTATTGCTCAGCAATTCCAAGAACACAGCCTGGCCTCATTGGTAATGGCTCTCAAGACAGAATTTTTTCTTTTTCCTTTTGATTTTTCAGACAGGGTTTCTCTGTGTAACCCTGGCTCTCTTGGAACTTGCTGTACAGACTAGTGTGGCCTTGAACTCACAGAGATCTGCCTGCCTCTGCCTCCTGAGTGCTGGGTAGCCAAGGCTACATAAAGAAACCCTGTCTCAGGAGGTGGGGGATAAAGCAAACAAACAAAGCTGGACAGTGGTGGTGCACACTGTCACTGAGCAAGGGGACACCTGCAGGTTGTCCCCTGACCCACCCACACACACATGTACTGAGGCACATGAGCATTCACCCACCAACCAAACAACCAAATCAATGCAAGAGGTTAAATATTCCAGCAGGCAGTGGTGACACACGCCTTTAGTCCCAGCACTCAGGAGGCAGAGACAGGCCTCTGTGTACAAGGCCAGCCTGGTCTACAGAAGGAGTTTCAGGACAGCCAGGGCCTCCCCGATAATCTTAAAAAGACAAACACTCTCCTCCCTACGCATACTGTCACTGAACAATCCGCCACTCACTCCCCAGGGTTGGCCTGGTCACCCACCCACCTGCATGGCGAAGTCTGTGGTCACGCAGCCAACTCGCACGTCCTTTGGGATGTCACACTGCTCCAGCTCCTGCTGGATCTGTCTGATGTTGCTGGGGGTTATCCACCCGCCCCCGTCGTCCTCACTGTCTTTACAGTCCTCCTCCACCTCCTCCTCGCCTCTGTCAGCCTGAAACATCAACACACAATCTCCCAGCCCACATGACTCTTGTGCAGAGGCTCGGATGTCAGTAAGAGACCCCCGCCTTACCAGCAGCTCCTGCAGTTCGAGGTCAATGTTAGGCAAGGGGTTCCTCCAGAACATGAAGGAGCTGAATTCCGGGTTCTCAGGCCCATCAGCTGGGTGGCCATGATCCACCGTTTCTTGTGAGTGTTTAGGCTGGGATTAAAGGAAACTTTCTTTTCTCAGTGTAGGGGAATAAACCCTGGCCTTTACATATACCACGAAGCAGAATGACTCAAAAACATGAGAACGGTCCTCAGTTTAAATGTGAAACCAATCTGTATGCAAGCTGGGTCTGGGAGCACCGTAAAAATATGCTCCTGAGCCAGGTCAATTTGCTTTGCTGCCAACAGCTGTGGCGTATTGTAAAAAGCCTAAGGATCAGGGCTTCTGAAAAGAGTTACCTTGGAGGGCAGATGAAAACCAGAAATGTTCAGAGGAGTTTCAGGGTGCTGAACTGAAGAGCTCACTCTAACCTTAGGGGGAAAAAAAAAAGCCTGCATTGAGTAAAGACAATTAGTTTGAAAATATAACATGAAGGACAATTAAAACACGCTTTCTTCCTAGTTATTGAATATAAAAAAAACTAAAGTCACATGAACATGCAGACAAAATGACAACATTCAGAGATCCTAACACCATCATTTAGTATTTTTAGGGTGTTTCCATTACACAAAAGGCTGTGGGTTGCGCACCGTGAAACTGGCGGGTGTCCTACAGTGAGCTGTGGGCTAAACGCCTCAGTACCGAGTCAAAGCAAGCAGTGTTCTGAAGCTTTTGGAGATGGCGTCAGCCCAGGCTGGTCTTCAACACACTTTGGCCAGCTTTGGACTTCTGACCTCCCTGCCCTTACTTCTGAAGGCACGGGATTACCACAGCGCGCCACTGTGCCTGTTTATGAGGTGCTGGGGGTAAAATCAAGAGGCTCCTCCAATGCTAGGCAACATTCTACCAACTGAGCCGCCGCCTCAGCCCATTCTAATGCTTTTGATACAAAAATAAAATAAAATGAGGTTAATAAAGAAGAAAACAAGAGTCTGTTTTTAGGCCTTTACATTGGAGGACTCTAAACCTGACTGAAAAAGAAGTGAGGGCCGTGCTGAACAGAGTAAGAGTGAGTGCATTAACTATAACCCACCAGTTTGGAAGTGGAGGCAGGAGAATCAAGAACTCAAGGTCAGTGCTGGCGAGGGCTGTGTACTTCAGAACACTTGTTGCTCTTGTGGAGGACTCAAGGTTATTTCCCAGCGCCCACACTGCCGTTCACGACCACCCTAAACTCACACAAGCAAAACACTCACAAAATGGCATTTTCCATTTTTAAATGGACTTAAAAACAAACAAAAACAAGTGTTCAAGGTGATAGCAAGTTCCAGCTAACCTGGGATACAGAAACTGCTTCAAAAAAAGTGACCTCATTTGCAAAATTAATTAAACATAACATATATACTTCACAGCTGGGTGGTGGTGTCACACCTTTGATCCAGCGCTCCTCAGGCAGAGGCAGTTGGACCTGAGTTCGAGGCGTGAGCTCGCGCACGTGTGTGTGTGTGTGTGTGTGTGTGTGTGTGTGTGTGTGTGTGTGTACATATACACACATAATTTTTTTCATCTAACTGATCACCAAAACAAACTATTAATAAATACTGGCTGGGCAAGTGTGAATACTGACAGGATATTTGGAGACATTAGGGGCCCACATTGACTTTCTGTGAGGATAGTGATGGCTCTGAAGTTATTTATGTGTCAGCGGCAGGGTCTAACTTAGTCCACGATCACCTTACACTGACTTTATAGACCCACCAACCTTGAACTTCTCATCCTTCTGCCTCCACCTTCAGAGTACTGGGATTACAGGACACAGCATACACACTGGTGGGGATTGAACTCAGGATTCCTGTGTAAGGGGCAAGCACTGGAAGACCCTCAGCCCAAGGTCACTGTTGCTTCTAAGATTAACTTAGTTAGGAATTTCAAGATGGCTGAGTGGGCAAAAAGACCCACACCGTGGAAGGAGAGGCAACCCCCATAGGCCTCTGAGCCCTCAAGCAAGCCCTGGTGTGTTCATACACATACACACACAAAGTAAATGTAATATAAAAAATAAAGAGCCAGGCATGGCGGCACATGCCTTTAATCCCACTGCTCTGGGGGCAGGGGCAGGCAGATCTCTGGGTTCCAGGACAAGCAAGGCTATATAATGACACATTTTGTCTCAAAACAAAACACAAAGGGTTCAGGCCCATTCTAGACAATACAGTGAGACCCCATGCCTTATATATAAATTAAAATAAAGAAGCATTTATTATGCGTGTGTGAAAGAAACAAAGTTCAGGAGTATGGCCACCACAGCAACACACATATGGAGGTCAGAAAATAGTTTTTCCAGGATCCACCTTCTTCCCTCGCCTCCTTTTTTTGAGACAGGGTTTCTCTGTATAGCCTTGGCTGTCCTGGACTCTTTGTAGACTAGGGAGGCCTCAAACTCACAGAGATCTCCCTGCCTCTGTCTCCCAAGTACCGCACCTGGCTTCTGCTTTCTCCTCCTAGTTTTTGTTTCAGGAAGGTTGTTTCTGTTGCTGTACTTCTCTCATCTTTTAACAGCAGGGCTACAACTACAAGACCTAGTTACTGCGTCTACATTTTTAACAGGCTCGGGACACAGGTTATTAGGCTATACAGGCTGGAGCCTGCTGGGTTTGTTTTTAATTAAGAGTATATAACACAGAGACACAGGAAAAGCTACATATCCCTGAAACACCAGGTGACCTCCTAACTGAAAATACCCAGGCAGCTCGGAGGTTAAGAGCACTTAGTGCTCAGTCGTGAGGATGGGAGTTCAGTTCCCAGCACTGTGCTGCAGGTTAATGGCTGACAAATGCCTGTAACCCCACTCCAAGGGATGTGCGATGCCCTCCTACAGGCACCCTCCCCACCACCCCAAAAGACCATGCACTCACACAGATACACACACATTTAAAAATCAAAGCCAAACCAGCCAAACGACCCAGTCTCCCTCATTTACCTTTTCTGGTTCTTTTTTTAGATGAGACACCCCAACAAATTCTGCTTCTAGCTGGTAAGTGAGAGCCAGCACTTGGATATCGGTGGCAGAGAGGCTGGGATAGTCCCCAGTCTTCTTGGAAAACTCAGTCACTGAAACAAATAAGAGATTTCCAACTTCAGTTAAGGTCAAAAACTTGACAGGTACTTAGATAGCCATAGTATCAAAAGAATATATAAGAGCTGGAGAGATGGTTCAGCTGTTAAAACATTGGCTGCTCTTCCAAAGGACCCAGGTTTAATTCCCAATATTCACATGGTGGCTCAGGACTGTTGGTAACTCCAATTCCAAAGGACCCAACACCCTCTTCTGGCCTCTGAGAACACCAGGCAAACACATGGTGCACAAACGTTCATGCAGGAGAAACATCTATTCACATAAAACAAAACAAAAACACATGGGCCATTGAGATGACAGAAAAATCCAACCACCCTTTGGTCCCTAGGATCTGTGCGATGGAAGAAGAAAAGCAATTCTCTGAGGTTTCTCTCTGACTCCATCTGAATTGTGTCACACGCAAAAAAAAAAAAAAAAAAAAATTTCCCCCCAAAGAACTTAGAATAGGTATGCAATCTTGGAGAGGTGGCTCACTCTTGTAATCGCAGCACTCAGGAGATGGAGACAGGAGAATCAGAAGTTAAAGGCCACCCTCAGCCTTATAAAAATTCAAGGTCAATCCAGGCTACTACACACCTTGTTTCAAAACACACCAACAATAACCAAACAAAAACAACAATCATTATCTCATGATAACGGCAACATCTACTTTCTGACCTTTTGTGACTGAAAAAGTGACCTCTTTGTGACTGAAAAATCTGAATTCTGCTCCACCAAGCCACTCCACAGGTGCTTTAAGGTAACATTCCCATCTCTGAGATCAAGGAAGAGGTCAAGGTCAATAGAAAAAAAAATGACCTAAGTTGATATATTTGCCCATGATAAAAGTTCCTTACTGAAGCTTGGGTATCATTGGAAGCCTTTTTTTTTTTTCAAGTCAGGGTTTCTCTGTGTAGCCTAGCTGACCTGGAGACTCACTTTGTAGACCAGGCTGGTCTCAAACTCACAGAGATCCGTCTGCCTCTGCCTCCTGAGCGCTGGGATTACAGGCGCGCGCCACCGTGCCCGAACCGGATCTGATCTTTCTTTTTAAACTTCTTTGGTGTTCGGCAGTACTAGGCCATACTTGGCAAGCACCCTCCCACCGAGTTCTTGCGATTCTACACACCTTTCCTGCACGCTTCCCATCTGCTAGGCACTACGCCACGAGTTTTCTTCTCAGGGCCTGGATTCTCTCAGTATTCTCACTGCACAGATAGGGCCAGGCCGAATCGACTGTCTCTTACACAAACGCTCGGGCTGGTCCCGGACACGTCTGTCGGCACTCACCCAGCCTCACGTACTCCGGGCAGGGCTCCCTGAACCGCAGCTCGTACGGCAGCACTGCCAGCCGCCTGCGCGTGGCCTTGTCGCGAATCTCTCGGACCACCTCCCGGAGGGTGTAGATGTTTTTCCCGATGTCCTGCGGACAGATCGGCCCAGTTATCGCACTCGCCTGACCCCACGCGCGCCCCGGGAGCGCAGGCTCCGCGGCGGAACCTCCTGTACCTGCAAAGGAGCGTCCCTCAGGAAAGCTCCGGCGTCAGCCACAACGTGCTCCACCGGCGCCATGTTGGCGGGCGTGGGCGGGCCGCGCATGCGCGCGCGGACCCTGCGCCGCTCCCTGCTTTTGGGCAAAGCAGTCCTCCCCCGACCAGAGGAACAGCCGCTGCCATGTAGCGGCGCCCCCTGGCGGCCGCAAGCCGCCGCTCCAGGCCGATGCGCGCACGCGCAGCCGCGCCGTTCGCCTTGCCAGGGAGTGAGTGTGTGCATGGTTAAATTTGGGAGACTCCAGAGGTAATTTGCGTCAGAATACACTTCATAGAGCTGCAAAACCTGCAGCGTATGATTAAAAAAATCAGCATCTAGAAGCAGAATCTGTCACAACAAATCTATAAGGTATGTTTTATTTTGCAAGCAGGGAAGCCGAGCTGACTTGGCCGGACCTGACTTGGAAACACTCTTTAAAATCCGTTATGTTACGCAGCATAGCTGCGTAATCTCGGGACAACGGCTGTATTACTTAGCACCCTTGCCCCACCTTCCTAAGCAAGACACATGGTTTTCTTGAAAGTAATTCCTTGCTGAATTGAAGAACAGGTATGAATAACTTCCAGTTTTTCTTTCAAATCGGAGATTAGGAGATCTGGGCATTACACACTGGTAATGCTGACCTGCTTTCATTTAAACTGTCCGGTTTTAGTCATCTGTCCTGTATCAAAAATTCTTCAGTGCCCAGTGTCTGTGACCCAAATATTTTCTGCATCCTCAAACATTTTTCTGTTTGTTTGTTTGGTTGGTTTTTTCGAGACATGGCTTCTCTGTGTAGCCTTGGCTGTCAGTCACCTTGTAGACCAGGCCAGCCTCGAACTCACAGAGATCTGCCTGCCACTGCCTCTCGAGTGCTGGAATTAAAGGCATGTGCCATACACTGGGTTCCCTAAACACTTTAAACACTTTAAATTTCATGGGGGGATGGGGCATGCCAGGTGCGCACAGTGAAGGCCAAGGACAACAGGGGAGCCAGTTCCTTCCTTCTGCTAAGAGACTCCTGGGGGTAGAGCTCAGGATCTCAGGCTCGGCAGGTCAAGATGCTTCTTGCTACCTTCTCATTCTCACTTTGTAGCTCTAGCTGTCCTTGAACTCAGAGACCTGCCTACCTCTGCCTCCAGAGCGCTGGGAATAAAGTCCTCCGCCACCACGCCTAGCCCCTAAACATTGTATATTGCTAATCTTCTTACCCCTGACTTTCTCCAATTTCCTGTTTTCAGTGCTGCCTATTCTGAAATAACGTCCTAGCTGAGGACTATCCAAATTTTTAGATAATTTTTTTTCAGCGTCTTGTTGTTTTTCGGCTAACTCCATTTCTCTGCAGGATCTGGCATTGTCTATTGTCCCTTCCCTCTAAATGTACCTGGTTTTGGTGATTCTTTACAACCCTAGTCTCCCCGCCTTTGATCCTCCTTAATCCGATTCTCCTCTTGCTGCCTTGCAAACATGGTGCCTTCTACCTGTCTTTGCAACTTAATCAATGCAAGGTCTTTTCTCCAGCAATGCTACCTATTGATGTTCACGGTCTAAAAACTACATATAGACATGTGAGCGTGTGAGTTTGTGTGCCTGTGTGCGCACGTGCGCCGAAGGGGCCAGAAGAGGGTGTTGATCCCTTGGAGATGGGGTAACAGGCAGTCTCCATCCACCTGTTCAAGTGGCGGGACCCTAATTCTCCTGGTCTGCCGTTAACGGCTAAGCCATCTTCCCAGCTCCAGAGAACTCTTTCTAGGAAATCCCATCTGAAATTTTTTGGCATCTACACTTGTAAGAGTTCCAATAATTGTCATTTTAGAGTCTTGCAGTATAGCTCTGGCTGGTTTTAAACTCAGAGTTTTGATATCTGTGCAGATATCACAGGCATGGGCTACCACTTCCTTTGTTTTGTTTTACTTATTTTTCCTTTTTTTTTTATTTTATTTTGCGAGACAGGGTTTCCCTATGTAGTGTTGGTTGTCCTGGACTCACTCTGTAGACCAGGCTAGCTTTGAACCCACAGAGATCTGCCTGCCTTTGCCTCCCAGAACACAGGCATGTGCCACCGTGCCTGTTTTTTTTTGTTTTTTTTTTTTGTTTTTTTTTTTTTTGTTTTTGTTTTTTTTAAGGTAGGCATCTCTGAGCAATCCCCATCTCTACCCCACAACCCTCCAATGTTCATTTCACTACAGTATGTCAGCATCATTCTGAAATCCTTGTCTGGACCCTTCCACTCCATTCTCATTTCTCTATCTGTTTTCCCACTGAACCACACAATGAGTGAAGATTCAGAACAAGAGCCTAGCAAAAAAAAAAGTTTTATCCAAGTTGAAAGGGCTTCTGGGGTTTAAACACTAAAGAATGAGCTGAAGCTAGCCCTGGAGGCGCATGCAGACAGTCTCACTTCAGAGTGGAAGGCAGGGACTGACAGAGGTGGATTCAGAGTTCAGGGTCATCCTTAGTGACCTATCGAGTTCAAGGCTAGCCTGGGCTACGAGTGATTCTGTCTCAGATAAACAAAACAAAAGAATCTGATTTGGGTCAGTGATTCCGAAACTCGGGTGTACATCGGAAGCCCAGGAAGAGCTTGCACAAACAAGCTCACAACAGGTCTAGATTTCTGACTTGGTGGGTGTGGGAAGGACCTGAGAAGTGACATTTCTGGCAATGCTGCTGCTGTGACCAGGGACATACTCTGAAACCCCTGTTTTAAGAGATTAGTTTGGAGCCAGGCATGGTGGTGTACACCTGTAATCCCAGCACTCAGGGAGGCAGAGGCAGGCAGATCTCTGTGAGTTCAAGGCCACCCTGGTCTACAAAGTGAGTCCAGGACAGCTGGAACCTTACAGAGAAACCCTATCTTGAAAAAAAAGGGGGGGGGGGGCTGGAGAGGTGGCTCTGTGGTTAAGAGCATTGTCTGCTCTTCCAAATGGACCTGGGTTTGATTCCCAGAACCCACATGGCAGCTCACAACCTTCTGCAACGCCAATCCGAATCTGCAATGCCAATTCCAAGGGATCTGACACCTTCACACTAATGTATGTAAAATAAAATTAAATAAGTTAAAAAAAAAAACCCAAAAGATACTAATCTGGGAAGGAGGGATCAGGTTTCAAATACTTATTTTCTAACCAACATTAAGAATTCTTATTTATGGGGCTGGAGAGATGGCTCAGTGGTTAAGAGCTCAGACTACTCTTGCAGGGGACCAGTGTTCAATTCCTCACACCTCCCTCAGGTGGCTCACAAACACCTAGAGCTGCTGCTCTTGGGAGATCTGCTGTCTGTCATCTCCATGAATGCTTACACTCTTGTGCACAGACCAACACAGACACACAAATGTACACAGTTCCAAAATAAAAATATTTATGTATGGGCTGGAGAGATGGCTCAGAGGTTAAGAACACTGGCTGTTCTTTCAGAGGTCCTGAGTTCAATTCCCAGCAACCACGTGGTGGTTCACAACCATCTATAATGAGATCTGGTGCCCTCTTCTGACCTGTTGGCATATATCCAGGCAGAATACTGTATACATAATAAATAAGTAAATAAATCTTTAAAAATTTTATGTATAGCACTTTATAGTATTTGGTTTTTGTTTGTTTGTTTGTTTGTTTGAGACAGGGTTTCTCTGTATAGTCTTGGCTGTCCTGGACTCACTTTGTAGACCAGGCTAGCCTTGCACTCACAGCAATCCACCTACCTCTGCCTCCCCAAATGCTGAGATTACAAGTGTGCATCGCCACACCTGGCCAGTTTATAGTATCTTTAAATTTAAAAATATTTATTTCACGTGTATGGGTGTCTTGCCTGCATGTATGTCTGTGCGCCAGTTTGGTGCCTGGTGCCTGTGGAAGCCAGGAGAAAGCATAGATCTCTTGCCACTGCAGTTATTGAAGGCTGTGAGCTCTCTGCAGGTATGGGAATCAAATCCAGGTCCTCTGCAAGAGTAGCACAGGATATCAACTAGTGAGCCATCTTTCTAGCCCTGTTGTAATTTTCCAAACTGTCATTTGAGTTTCTCGTATTTCTCTGTAATAGTTTTGAAGGGCCATTTATATAGTAATAGCTCTATGGATTGGCTGAAAAATACCTATAAATATGATATTGTGCCTGGTGTCTGGGGGAACCTTAGAGTTTGTGGATTTAGAAGGACCACGCTGAGGTGTAGTAGTTCAAGCGCGTGTCTGAGGATTTGTGTGTGGTACCTGTAGCTGTGCAGGGTACCTGAGAGAGTTCCTCAGAAGTAAATTAAGACCCTGGCACACTTTTGTGGCGCTTGTAGCTTAATAAAAAATTAAAATTAAAACCTTAGCACACCAGTAGCAAAACTGTGTCTTTAAAAGGTTTACAGGGGTCAGAGCGATGGCTTAGGAATGAAAGACTGTTCTTGCAGAGGACACAAGTTTGTTTTCCAGCAGCCACGTCAGGAGGCTCACCGCTGCTTCAACTCCAGTTCCAGGGGGTGACATCCTCTCCTGACCCCTGAGGGCACCTGCATATTTGGCGAACACACACAGAAATGAAAATAGAAATTTTTAAATTAGTGCTGGAGAGATGGCTCAGAGGTTAAGAGCTCTGTCTGTTCTTCCACAGGTCCTGAGCTCAATTCCCAGCAACCACATGGTGACTCACAACCATCTATAAGAAGATCTAGTGTCCTCTTCTGGCGTGCAGGTGTACATATAGATAGAACATTGTATACACGATAAATAAATAAAACTTAAAAAAATAAAATTTAAAATTAAAAGTTTAAACTAAGTTGCACTCAGAAAGCTGAGGCAGGAGGATCAGGAGTTCAAAATCACCTTCTATTAATAAGTTTAAGGTCGGCCTGGGCTGTATGGGACCCTTAAAAAAACTAAAAGAAAAGGTTGGGTGTGGTTGTTCATACAGATTATGCTTGAGATGCTGCCACTGTCAAGTGTCAGGCAGGAGGATCACTGCAGCCACCGTGGGATAAACAGTGACTTCCAGGTTAGCTGGGCTTAGGGCAAGACCCTGACTTTAAAAATAGAAGTAGCTGAGTAGTGGCGGCGGTACCTGCCTTTAATCCCAGGGCTCGGGGGGCAGGCAGCTCTCTGTGAGTTTGAGGGCAGCTTATGTACAGAGTTCTAGGATAGCCAAAGCTACACAGAGAAACCGTGTCTTTAAACACAAAAACAAAACAAACAAATAAATAAAGAAAACCTGAGCATGGTGGTGCTCACCTTTATTCTCAGCATTTAGGAAGAAGAGGCCAGCTCAAGGCCAGTCTGGTCTACATGGTGAGGTAGAGAGCCAGAGCTACATAATGAGACACTGTCTTAACAAGACAAAACAAAACAACCACAAGATTAAGACATGGTGCTGCAATCTCAATCCCAATACTTTGAAGGCAGAGGCTGGAGGGCCACCTCAAATTTTAAGCCTGACAGACAATGAGTTCCAGACTAGCCAGGGCGAGAGTGAGATCATGCCTTTAATAATAATAATAATAATAATAATAATAATAATAATAATAATAATACAAAGCAGCAGCAGCAGCAGCAGCAGCTGAACTGGAGAGATGGCTCAGCTGTTAAGAGCACTGGCTGCTCTTTCAAAGGACTTGAGAGTTCCCAGATGGCAGCTCATGATAGCCTTTAACTCCAGTTCCTAGGGGATCCGATACTCTCTTCTGGCCTCCAAATGTGCATCAGGGCCCAGACCTTAGTACAACTGACTCCATGATGGGAGAACCTTTCAGGCCTAAGACTTAGCACATGGACAGCACCATCGGCCAAAAGGAAGACGAAGACCTAATCCATCAAAGTCTATGGAAAAGTCCTGGGAAAGTCTGTAAACGTACTAACTTTGCTTTTTGGCTTCTGTGGTTTTGCTTCTGGCTTCCTGTTCTTGTTAACTGAAGAATCTCAACCCAGAACATGGCTTCTGTGCTTAAATGCTCACCCTGAGGAAGGCTCAGAGCCTGGCTACACACTGGGGTCTCAAGCACTGGGTAGAGTCACCAGATGGCTAGTAAGATTTCTTTTGTTGTTTCCTGTTTCCTGTTTGAAACAGGGTTTTTCTGTGTAGCCTTGGCTATCCTAGACCAGGCTCGCTTAGAACTCACAGAGATTTGCCTGCCTCTGCCCAGAGTGCTGGGATCACAGGTGTGCACCATGGCGCCGGCTTGACTGTCTATAGGCTCAAATGTACAACTGCACAGTCTTCTCTGTTGAGTACCCCACACCCTTTGTGGGGGTCCCACTGAGATCCCTGGAGACCATACCTCAAGACACTGGGGGGTCTCAGAGCTCCTAGGAATGGGGTGAGTGTGCTGGTCAAGGAACTCCTAGGGAGGGCACAGGTCCCCAAGTCTCCCTTTGATCATTCTCTGCCTAATGCCTCCTAGGAATTTAACACTTCCACCCAAAAATAAACAAATTAGAGCATCACCTGGTCTGTCACCTCTGGATATAAGTCTGGTTAAGATGCCTTCTGTTTGGACACATGGGAAAGGTTCGATGTGGCTGTTGAACTAATGTCCAGGAACCAAGTAAGACATTACGGGATTCCCTTGTCTGCTCAGGCTGTCTTTACTCTGTGTGTGTTATCTTTCTGTGTGTTTCTATCAGTCCTGTTTCCCTGTATCGACCAGTGGCTTTTTCTGATGTGAGAATCCCCTGGCTTAAGACCTGTGCCCCTCCTGTTGGGGACCCAAATCCTCTTGATTCTGCCAGGTCACCCAGAGAGACAAAACAAAAACAAGACAAGACAAACCAAACCGAGCCCCCCACCTAGCCTTGTGGAGCAGGAGTGCTTGCTTGTTTTGCTGCTCACCAGGTGGGGAGGTGAGGAGGGGCAGGCCTCTCATCCTGGGCCCCTACCATCTAAGCAGAGTGTACACAAGAAGGGGAGATGTTTCCCCCAGCTGAGCAGTCCCTCCTTTCCATGCCTGCTCTAAGCAGCCCCTGTGAAAGGGAAAGTCCCCCTGGGCTGATCCTGAAGGAAAAGAGAAGGTCCCACTGCTTCTCTTTCATGATTTATGTCTCCTTTTGAACTGAAGATCCATATAATTGAGAACCCACCATTCTCTGAAAAAAGAAAAACTGCCCCTGAGATGGGCAGGGAGATTGCTGCCAGACAACACAGCCTGGGCAGAATGGAGTTACCTTCTGTCCAACACTGACCAAGAAAACATAATTTTTTTTCCATAGGTCCTTTTTAGAATGATTAAAGACAGATGCTAAAACGATTTCCTTTGTCACCCAGTCAGCTCCAGATATTTTAAAAGTATGAGTAGGTCCCAGTTGCTGGATGTAGCTCAAAAGGTGATTAAGGACAGAGAACTGGATGGGATAGGACCTTTTGCATAAACTGAAAGCCCCCTTCACCTTCTCTGATGATGGGACGCAGAATTAGATACCCAGCAAAATTTTGGCGTCTTGGCCTCTGTCAGAAGAATATCTCCTAGCTGAATGTTTTGCCTCCAATCAAAAGATCCAGTTGGACTATCTCTCAGCTTGACAACAAAGAGTCCCTGGGGGTACAGGGAGAATCCAAACCCCCAGGACTGGCCCAACCCCAAGCGCCTATAATTAATTGTTCAACTAACCAGTTCACCTGCCTCCATGCAGATTAAATAATACCCAGTGAGCCTAGAAATAAAGGGGAACTGCAGTCTATATTGCCTGGCTTGGAGAGGCGGGCACCCGAGTGGCTGCCAGTCACCCTGGGAAATGTCTCTTCTGTCTATGAAGGAACCTCGGACCTCTGATTCTCGTGAGCCTGATTTTTCCAGAGAAACAGGTGTATGCTGCCTTGGAGCTTAAACATGCATCGTTCAGTCTCCCACTGGCAGAGGTGCGTCAACTCGTCTTTGTTTTAAATAGACGGACCCAGAGGGAGATTACAGTGGGCAGCTCACCTAGACTAGGTTGACCCCCGCCCCCGCGAAGATTTAAAAATTCCCCAACCCTGTTTGATGAGACAATAAATGCTGAACTCCTGCCCTTCTGTCAAAGGTTTCCTGGGAAAATAGATTATAAAAGGCCCCCTGAGGGGGGTCTGTTGCAAGAGCTACAGACCGTAGGCTACAGAAAGAATGTCAGCTAAGAAAGTCAAGCTTTGTAAGTCAGAGGCTCCCTATCTCGGATACCCGATGTGGGGAGGCAAAAGGAGCCTGTCTCAGAGTAGGACTGCCACCATCCTTCAGTTCTAAACTCCAGGAGACTAAGAGACAGGTTTGAGAGTTCCTAGGTACAGCTGTCTCTGGATATCAGACTTTGTGGGAATAGCAAGGTTTCTCTATACTTCAGCACAAAGGAGGTACAGAGCCTCTAGTCTGGGCTCAGACTAAACAAAACTCATTTGAGGCTTTAAAAACAGCTCTGACTTCTGTTCCAGCCCAGCGCTTCCGTACATCTCAAAACCTTCTCACCTGTTTGTCCATGAACCAGAAGACAAAAGAAGCTGTAACTCAAACGTTGGGGCCCTGGAGACCCTGTGACAAACTCTCCAGCATCTAGAGTCTGTATGTAGCCACAGGAGGGCCCACCTAAGAGCTGTGGCAGCTATTGCTGGTCTAATGAAAAGCAAATAAACAAACAAGTTAACTCTGGGTCACGATCTTATAACTCACAGCACCCCATGTGGTTGGGGCCCTCCTCCGAGGAACACCACAATGCTGGCTGTCTAAGGCCCCTGTGGCCCAGTACCAGGCCCTACTCCTGACCCACGCCTGAGTCCAGTTGGAGAAACCCACTGCTATCAATTCAGCTACCCTCTTGCTTGATGATGAAGGTGCTAGTCCATGACTGCCGGGAGAGGAAAGATGAAACTGTGTCTGTGGGAGCTGCAGTAGTTTACTTTCACTGAGATGATGTGGGCCTAAGTCAGATACCTCAGCCTAAAGAGCAGAACGGATTGATTTGATCCAGGCCCTCAGCTGGGGAAAAGGAAAGTCCACAACCATATACATGGACAGTCGCTGTGCTTTTACTGCTGGCATCTCCACGGTATGATCTATTGCAAAAGAGGGCTTCTCACTGCTGGGGGGAAAAAAGGACAATAGAAAATCTTAGCCCTCCCAGAGACTACTCGGCTTCCCATACAAACTGCTGTCCTTCACTTCCAGCTGCTGACCTGGCCGTCTGACAAATGGCCCTAACACCGTGGGGCCTCTTGACTCTATAGTAAAGAAGAAATGGATAGCTCAAACCTATAGGTCCGTGGAGGACCTGTAGAGGGAAAGATCATTCTCCCAGAAACAACTGGCACTGGCCTTCACTAGGCTTCGACTGAGGTTCCCAGAACTTTCTGAGCTGCTCAGACCAAGGTGTGTTATAACTAGACTGGACAGCCTGGCACAAGATGTCTCAGCCAGATGCCACACTTGTGCTCAGTTAATGCAAAAACAGAGATCCCTTACTCAGAAAGGGGTCTGAATGAGAGACCAACACCCTGGTGAACTCTGGGAAAACTGACTTCACTGAGATCGGCCAGGCTGGCCTCAAACTCACAGCAATCTGCCTACTTCTGCCTCCCCGAGGGCTGGGATTACAGGTGCGCGCCACCAGGCCTGGCTTGATAGTTTGTTTTTTTTTTTTAAATACTTTATTTATTTTTATTTTATGTGCATTGACGTTTTACCTGCATGTGTCTGTGTGAGGGTGTTGGATTCCCTGGAACTGGCGCTACAGATGCCATGTGGCTACTAAAAATTGAACCTGGGTCCTCTGGAAGAGCAGTCAGTGTTCTTAACCCCTGAGCCATCTCCCCAGCCCATCCTTTCTAGTTTGTGTAGTTATATACCTTTTTCCAGGTGGGTAGAAGCTTTCTCCACCCAGACTGAAGTTGCTCAAAAACAGTAGGAAAAAGCCCCTCCAGGAACTGATCCCCTGTTTTGGCCTCCCCTTGCAATGGGATCTGACAATGGCCTGACTTTCATAGCCCAAACCTTTCAATTAATAGTGAAAGCTTCAGACCATAGATTGAAAACTTCATTGTGCATAAAGACCTCAGAATTCTGGGCAGGTAAAAAGAATAACATTAAAATAAACCAACAAAGAGCTGGAGAGATGGCCCAGTGGTTAAGAGCTCTGTCTGCTCTTTCAAGAGGTCCTGCGATCAATTCCCAGCAACCATATGGTGACTCACAACCATCTACACCCTCTACTGCCCTCTTCTGGCATGCAGGTGCACCTGCAGATAGAGCATTCAAAATAAATAAATAAATAGATAGATAGATAAATAAATAAATAAATAAATAAATAAAATCTTAAAAAAAAAAAAACTAACACAACTCTCTTAGGTGTCTGGTTGTATGGAGAAAGGAAAGATATGCGATATGGAAGTTTACCTTTTGAGATAGGAATATAAAGTTTACAATTCTATGCATGCCCTGTGGCTGGGCTCCCTAGTTGCCAGGAACAAGGGAGTTTCCACTGTTAAAAATTAGAGTTGTGAATCTGAGTCTTCCTGAAAAAGTCCTTAAGAAAGATTCTGGCCTTTGGGAAACAGGGAAAAACCTGGGGAATCAGGCTCTCTGCCGCAGGAAGGGACTCTGGGGATAGAGTTAATTATTCCTGGCCGGAAATCAGCCAGGAATGCTGGGTAGACGACCAGCCCAGCGACTGACAAAACTGTTACCTGGGGCAGCCCAAATGGTTAAGGGACTCACAATGGATAGGAACTTGTTTAATAGCCAAAACCTTTCATCTAGGAACCTCCCCTTATTCTGATGCCTGCTGTTCTACCTTGTGGGTTAACGCATCTGGACAACAGAAATTTCCTGGGGCTCTGAGCTACCTAGTGGCCATGTACTAACCGTTTGACTAAATTTGCTTCTTCTAATGTTTTCCAAACTAAGTGGACAGGTCGATCAGGGCGTAGAGGTAGTAAACGTTTCCATTTCTGGATTAAAACAACGGTTGGATTCCCTCGCAGAAATGGTCCTATAAAACTGGAGACTTACTTCTCAGGAGATAAAGGACACTATGTACGGCTTTGGCAGAAACTGTTGTTTTTATGCTAATTGATCAAGAGTAATTAGAAAAAAAAATCTTGTTGTGGTTGAGGAAAACCTCAGTAAGACAAGTAGACAAAGACATAAGTCAAATAATACCAGTCTCTGTTTTCTTGGTCCCCTGGCTAACAGTTCTGCTACCAGCACTGGCTGGACCTTTAATCTCATTCTGAGTGGATGAATGATACGGCCCTGCATCTTAAACAATATGGCCAGTTATGTATAAGTTCAGCAAAATTAATGGTACTTAGGACCAACTACATGTTTTTGTTTTGTTTTGTTTTTGTTTTTTGAGACAGGGTTTTTCTGTGTAGGCCTGGCTGTCCTGAAACTTGCTCTGTAGACCAGGCTGGCCTTGAACTCACATAGAATCACCCGCCTCTCTGCCTCCTGAGCACTGGAACTAGAGGAACCACTGCTTGGCCCAATTATACCTCTTTAGAGCAGGATGAGTCCATATTTGACTCATTCACTGAAGTCAGTGGGGAATGTAACAAAGCCCTAGACCTTAGTAGGCCCCCTTAGCACAACTGATGTCATGATGGAAGTACCATGCAGGCCACAAAACTCAGCACATAGACAGTACCACCTGCCAAAACAAAAACAAAGACCTAATTCCATCTAAGTCTATAGTTCTGGGAAACTCTCTAAATGTACAGCTAACTTTGCTTCCTGGCTTCTGTAGTTCTGCTTCTGGCCGTTTCTGTTAACTGAAGTACGTTAATCCAGGGCATGGTTTTTGTGCTTAAAACATCACCCTGAGAAAGGCTTGGTGCTACACTGGGATCCTGAAAACCCAATGTAGTCATAGGCTGGCTTATAAGGATTTTCTATTGGCTTAAATGCACATCGGAGCTGTCTTCTCTGGGAGATATCCTACAATAAAAGCACCAGCCACTCAGGCGGCACACAGAGATACATGCAAGCAAAACATCCATATAATAAAATACTAATAAAAATATAAAATGTCAGCTAACTAAAAACAAACCCGACAAAAAACGAAGGTGTGAATCTGAACTATCAACTGGGAGGTGAATGCCAGCCTAGGTTACGTGAAATCCTGCTTTAATCTGTCTCCTTTCTCATCCCCACCAAAGGCACAAGCTGGAAATCCTAACTGCTCAGAGGCTAATGTAAGGGAATCAGAAGTTCAAGGCCAGTTGGAGCCCTTTAAGCAAGACCTTGCTCCAAATAAAAACCAGAAAGGTAACAAAACGGCTGGGCACATAGGTCAGGACTAGCGCCCTTGACCAGTATGTGTGAGGCCCTAGCTGGGTTCAACCATCAATCCTGCGAAACCCAGAAAGTTTCCGCTGTCCAGGCTGTGGTGAGGCAAGCCTGCAATGCCAGGAATCAGGAGACCGAAGACAGCGTTCCAGGTCAGCCAGGATTACACAGATGCCCTGTTTGCTAATTCATGAGGCTCAGTTTACTCCATACAGGGAGGGAATGGGAAACGGTTCTCCATGGGGACATTTATGAACTCGGGAAAAGTTTTGAAGGGACGTCACGTCGTCCTGTCTCGTGTCTCCCCTCCCCTCCATCTTTCCACTTTTGCTTTTTGGAATAACAGATGCTTTACAGATGCCAATAGTAGTTGGCACAGGCTGCCAGCATTACACGAGTAAGCCCGTGTTCGACCAGCATACCTTTGTGGTGTCAATACATCCCTTGCAAATTTGGGGACATGTTTACAGTTACACGGTTTATCAGACATTCAAATTTAAAGGGAAGCGTACTGTTGTTTTATCCAGCAACCCCTGAAAGATTTGCTGACTTAACTGACCGGATGGTCTTTCCCCACCTGTACCTTGGGGGAAAACAGCTCTACCTGCTTGCAAAGGAATAATTAAAGCCCTTGGTGCCCGGCGAGCCCTCAGTTTACACGCCGGCTCGGGCACAGGAGGCAGAGGTCCTTCCCACTCCGGACTTCGGCGGGTCAAGGGCTCCGCAGTCCCGGGCTAGGTAGTCCGCACCTGCGCGCCCCGGCCAGCCTCTTCCGGGTCAGGTGACCGCGCGCGCTCACGTGACCCGGCCCGAGTGCGGGCGCTGGAAGGCGGAAGTGGAGCGGAGTTAGGCGCCGCTGGTGTGGCCCCGGCAGGTAGGTGGCGCGGGCGCTGGGGGCTTGGTGCCGAGCGGGCGGCGCGGGGCGGCCAGGGGGGGCGGGCGGCGCG